TCCACAAGGAGCAAGAGAGGAAGCGAGAGGAGAATGGAGGAAAGGGTGATTGAGACAACGACAGAGTGACAGAGAGGCAGAGAAAGACAACAAGTAGAATGGAAGCCGAGAATGTGAAGTGAGGAAGGAAAATGAGCAGGAGCAGGAGAAGGAGAAGGTGGAAGGGGATGAAGGAAACAAAAGAAGTCTGTCACTTTGGGGCAAAGTCCTTGGCGTTTGGAGCTCCCAGATAAATCATGACTGATGGGATCATAAAACCTGCAAGTGTTTGGAATCAGACAGCAAATTTGATGCTTGTTGTGGTCGTGAAAGGGGGTGGGGCAGGAGGAGGAGCAGGATGATGATGGTGATGATGATGGTGGTGGTGGTGGTGGTGGAGGAGGAGGTGGTGGTGGTGATGATGATGATAGAGATGATGATAGAAATGATGATAGAAATGATGATAGAAATGATGATGAAATGATGATGATGATGATGATGATGATGATGATGATGATGATGATGATGATGATGATGATGATAATGAGGAGGAGGAGGAGGAGATAGTGGTGGTGGTGATGGTAGGCAGAACAAACCTTGGTAGAACTTTTCGGAGAGATAATCTTTCATGATCTTGAAAACATGTCACATGCATTGTACTGGTGATCAGGCATAAAAATTCACAGTGTTTTCAATGGCCAGGGAGAATCGATACTGAGACGAAACAAGCATCTTCGAAATCCCACCTGCCAATAACAACACAACATTCACAATCGTCAACCCTCCATCTTCTCCTCCACTCACGATCTTTCTTTGCCACCTCATTGAGTGCTTCCGGAAAATCAAAATTTCGCTCCTCTGCATTCTTGTAGCAAGAGCCGTAGGAATCGACCTGCCCATGATATCAACTCAATTCTTTTCTCCCTCAACTTCAACATCCACCGAGATGTATTTCATGAATTTGAACAAGAAGTTATCGTGCCTGCTGCATGTCGCCGATACAAATCTGAGAAATCTCTTAACTCTCGAAACTGACACTGTAAGATCTACACACGTTGCAACCAGACTGTTATTCCGCGAAGATCTGTACCGCATGATGGATAACTGAAAACAAGATCAATCTTTCTCCTCCTTCTCTTTCTCCTCCACATCATCATCATCATCATCATCATCATCATCATCATCATTGGAAACATCATCATTGGAAACATCATCATTGGAAACATCATCATTGGAAACATCATTGGAAACATCACTTGCATCGTCGTATCGATCCCGGTATCTATCAACATCCTCATCATCTCCATCATGACATGCAAGACGGTTCGATTATCATTGCCATACTCGCTCTGGGAAAGCATTGAGTGCTGAAGAAACATATCTCGACAGCCCCTCTCCATGGCTGCAGTTGCTACATGTGATCGATGCTGAGTTGTACAGGCAGGATCTGCGATTGGATCGCATTCGCGTTCTCAGATACATGAATCCATGCAATCGTCTGTTACATGTCTCGTATCGTCGCATTAGAACCTGCCATGATATGATCAGTGAACGATGATGAGGATGATGATGAGGAGGATGAGGATGAGGATGAGGATGAGGATGAGGATGAGGAGAAGTAGTATGAGGAGGAGAAGTAGGAGGATGATAATGAGAATCAGACTGAGGAGGAGGAGGAGGAGAGGTAGTATGAAGAGGAGGAGGAGGAGGAGGAGGAGAGGAACATTCTTTCTTACATCCGGTGAACTTCGTCGTGATGTAGGCGTACGACACCGGAACGTCCGACTCCTCCTGCACCCCCGCCAGGATGTCCGTCCCTGCAGAAATTTCTTCTTATCAGCGCATCTCCAACGATCCACCATGGAGACAAGCTACTCGCAAGTGACTTGTCCCAGATGCTGTGAGCTTCAAGATTCAACGCCGCTGTCATCTTCAACATGACACACAACCTCATTAGTCCTCCAGGTCAACAAGCAGCGCCATCAGAAACTCCTTCCCTCCTCCCTCCTCCTCCTCCTCCTCCTCCCCCCCATCCCTCCTCCTCCTTCCCTCCTCCCGCAGACACCTGGTTCGTTCGGACCACCGTGTCCCCAGTCACCATCAAGTTGTAAATGAGCACGTCAGCGTCTTCGAGGCGTCCAGTGATCGCACATCCCAAGCAGCTGGGCTCATGGTCGTCAGCTCAGTCCAGCAGCTCTCAGAGCCTCTCACTCCCTGATGCTTGCGTTGGACAACCATATCGCTCCTGCTCCATACCTGCCCTCCAGTATCACCTCCGGCCATAGGGCAGGGCCATTCAACAAGCAGCGGCTCCTACCACTTGAACAAGTCGGGATGGAGCCACAGCCTCGTGACTTCGTTCCTGGCGTCCAGAGTTTGAGATTTTCGTTGACGCCCCTTGCAGTCCCTCCTGGCCCTCCTACTCGTCACGTCAGCCATGACCTGTTGGACGTCGAGAACAACTGACATTCTCCTCCTCTCTACTGCAGTAGCGATTTTGTTTCCATAGCGGCAGAGAGACGGGTTTCGCACGCAGAAGGCATTCTTGGCGCGATACTGAGCGCTCAGAAGTCAGGCATGTCGGCCATTGAGGATTCAAACCTTGCTGCTGTGCTGGATAATGAACAGTTCGTTGCTGCATAACACAAACACATGTAAGAGAAAAGAAAATCGTGTTGCCCTTGGGACGCACCTGAGGAATCCCAAAGATGATGCAGATGCGAGTATCAGAGCAGCAAGTATCTAACGCCATGAATCAAGTCGATCCTCCCTTTGCCTCAAATTCTCATTTCCCTGTCCTGCCTTTGCCCTTTCCTTTCCTGTCATGCCTTGACTTGCCCTCCCAACAACTGTCGTGTCCTATCCTGCCCTCATCTGGCCATCTTCCCTCCTCCTCCTCCTCCTCCTCCACCACCACCACCTCCACTTCCTCTTCTTCTACCTCCACTCTTTCCCTTCCCTCCATTCCTTCCTTCATGCCCATCACGTGGAAGCCACTTTTCTTCCGGATTGAAATTCATCCACTGATTACACACAGTAGGGTTGGGTTGATTATCATCCATTACAGAGAGATATTGTTGCTCTGCAATAACCAGGGTAAATAGTCCTCGTAAAGTTCTGAAAGTTCTAGGAGGTCCCCCCGATCGCTCTAGGTTAAAGTTCGATAGATAAAAAGAGAAGCTGTAGATCTACCCCTCCCCCGAGCGGAGGAAAGGATACTGAAGCGCAGGATGGTGATCCTGATTCATAA